TATCATTTGTACTCAACACACATGAATTGGTAACGTCTCTGGCTGCAGTACTCACTGGCTGACGTGGGTTTGAATCTCAGAAGGAACATGTGTTCCTTCAGGGTTTGAGATACGCCTTGCTGACAAGTGCCAACTAGCACGAAACCTAGGTCCAAGGCTTCCTGACAATTGCCTCCAACAATCCAACACACAGTTAGTTAGACATACTTCTGGTTAATATACAGATTCCCCAATCTTATATTTCTTTTATTTGTTGGAGTTATGACTCTAGTTTGGAGACATTGAGAACAATCTTGCGTAATCAAGAAGGTTGATCACTGAATTATTCGGGTGATGAACAATCAATGGAAATAGTTAGTATGAGACAAGAGTATAAAGGATTGAAAATGATTTGCAAAAAACAGAATGGATTACACTCAACTTATTATAAAGTCATTCAGGAGAACGAAGAAAAGAAACGTACCAGGGCAGTGGTAGTGTAAAGGACAGAATGAAACGTCGCTGTAAGCAAAAAAAACCTAAACTTTGTCTTTGAGACGTTTCACCCAGCCTTTTTTTTACTAGTATGGCCCTCTTGGTTACACAAGATTATTCCCAATTTTTCCAAACATAATTATTACTCACACAATTTGATTTATTTTATTCCTTAGGGTTATTTTAAATTTTCTGTTGATTAATTGCATTAGACTCGTCAGCAAGATTGAACTGAATCCCAGGTGGTTGTCGGTGGTCTGTCTGAGTGATAACGCCTTGAAGTTTGAAAATATGAATGTTGAATTTCAGTCCCCCTTCCCAAGAGTACCATCACTTATTCACTAGGGTTGCAGTCACATCCAAATGATGAGTTCCGAATATGGACGAAACGTACCTCCAAGAAACCAGTGCTAGCCACTAGCAGTCAGATAACATCAGTCTCGTTTTTGTCTCTGTCTACCCTGTGTTGATTGCGCATATAAAACAAACCCTGTTTTCAACTGTTCTTAGGCAACTTTATGTGATATACTGGTACGATTTGTTTAACTACCTTTTTATTCATTCAGTACGTTTCTAGTGTAACCAGAGATTTCAATCCTGGGAGTTTCAGCAGAGGTGTTGTGAATTTTTCGCAGAATGCGGATTCAAGTCTCATACACAACCCAACCCTCACTTTCTAGCTTACCATGTTTGGGACAGTCATGTCTAGGGAGAATTCTAACACTGAACTACCAACTCAAAAGTTTATTGTTGTATTGAATGTCTCAACAGCCTGACGACTTTTTGAACAGTCTTTTTTTCTTCTCCTAAGTTTCTAATGGGGCACAGAATTTCAGACTGATATCAAGGTGTTTCACTAGTCGTGGTGTCTGTATGAAGTGAGGTCGCTAGCCTCATCCTCAAGCTCATCTCTACTCAATGTCTACTACGAGCTCGTAAACTAGTCGAGGTTAAGGAGGGCACCAGCCGGAAACCGAGCCCCGGTATGATTGGTAACTGACTGACTGTTTTCAACACAGAACTTTCCACAGATATGCAGCAGTTCGAGTTGGTACGCTCTTACCTTGTAGCACACAAACCAAGATAAGAGAGTAAAGAGAAATTCAAAATTAAGATAATAAACAGTAATATAAGGCAAACAAAAAATAGTAATATGGAAGAACAATAGAATTTCATTGGATGTTCAAAATCACAATGGGTGAATGCATCTGCACTAATGAGAACGATTTTGAGCGATATCACCAATTGTCTCAAGCCAATGTTCTTACCATCCCGAGAACCACAACCAGGAAGTCAGTCTACATCTCCCTATGTGATTGGCTGAAACTAACTTTTGTGGATTTCATAGACTGATGCTAAGTTTTGCTCTGACCACCACTAGCTCTTTTCCAACGTGATCCTGTGTCAGCTTACATTGCCGGTCAAGGAAGGCGGCGTCCTAACCACCTCAATCGGTGTGACTTCAAAATCTCATCGACTGATTTCCTCTTCTTACCCAGCACTCGATGCCTAACTTCAATATATCTCACCACATAATACCACTTAACACGGTAGATAGAACACAGACATATAAGATCCAAGACAGCTAGCCCTTCCGTATGTTTGGCGCGCATTCAACCTATTTGCCATTTCCTAACTAAAGTAGTATATAATCCCATAATAAATTATTCGAAAGAAATATATTTCAACATGAAGTTGCCTCACTATTTCGTTACAGAAACATTGCGACAAATATCGTTTACGAAACAAAAATATTTCAGTGTTTCTCAACCAACCTGTTAAATAATCAACACTGAAAAGGTGGTAAGTGAAATTCTAATTTGCAAGGTGATGGGTATCTTATAATACCGCAGTAGAATGGAAAAGCCTGTCTCAAGACAGAGGGAAATTTCTTTGCTGAAATATCAGAAAAAGCCCACCGGATGGTGTAGCTGATAGCTCCAAAGCTTCTATTGGCTACCAAAAGCACTTCCATCTTCAGGTTTTTCTGAACTCATAGACATTTTCCTGTTCATTGAACACAAGCTAACACTGTCCATTAGTGAATATGTATCAATGACTAGTAAAGAAATCAACAGTTATCTCAGGTATTTCACACTATTCTATGTCAAAATTACTAAAGACAAGGAATGCAATGGAACTACGTGTAGAAATCAGTAGAATTGACCACCTGTCTTCCTCGAACTGCTCTAATTAAACTTCTTTTGATCTAATCCACAATACTAAAACTTTTTACTGACTTTTCTAATTCCTTTAATGGTTGATTAGTATGAACAGATTCATATCCAAATTTTAACAAGTGTTTTCCCCTGAATGGTATTAAACTGAATCCGTCTAAATGTCATATTGTTGATTTTAGTTTCAAATGCAAAACAGACTTGCGTGGACTGATTCAGTCCTATGATTCTTGTAATATCTATGGCATTGTAATAAGAAGTAAATCGAATATCTCTCATCTAGGCATCAAGTTCTCTTCCAATCTCTGTTGATCGTCTCAAATTCTGTTGATTTAAAAAAAGCGTTTTCGTTCGACTTATTACATAAAGACGTTGAGACTTTTTGAATTAAGTCAACCTCTTCTCTGACAATTTATAAATTCATGTATTCTGCCCATTCTTCTTTGTCATCCAGCATTATTCTCCCTGAACTCCTCAAAAAAGACTATGTCATATTGAAAGAAACACTAAGGATTGTAAGTAGGGTTAGTGGTGTGCGTTTGACTCACTTGACTAACACTGTTATCAAAAGGCATTTCAAATCTTTCAAGAATTTAGCTAAAGTTATCTTGTCTGATTCCCCTGAACATCCTCTTTATTCTCAATGTTTGCCTCGTATCTTTTTGGGCACAAACCAGAAGAAACTGCATAAGAACTTACACTTGTACTACCATACCTTATTTAGCACTGGGTTAGTGTGAAGAGAGAGTCAGGTGTAAGAAAAGAACTTATAAACTTTTTAAATCAGTTAGTGAACTGCAAAGTATAAGCAAAGATTATTATTATTATTACTAATACATGTATTATCTGTGATACTATCCACTTATACTTCATTATGTTTCCAACATCATTCTGTTTTATAATGGTTGCATTAATAATATTACTATTTTAGATTACGTATATTTATAAATTCATGAAAGAAGCTGAAGTGTTGCATAAAAAAGGGCTGGAAATCTCATTCTGTATAATTATTATTGTTGTTTGGAATAAAGTGATTATGGGTATTATCTGATATCGGCAGTTTATTGGTAGAATGTTCACTAATCATGAGGGGTGATTTAAACTCAGTCCTACACCTCGACTAACCACTAGCAAACATGGAAAAAAAGGACGGTCGAGCTTAAGGCTAACAACCTCACCTCATAATAAAATAACACCAGTGCAATTGAAGCTTCAAAGAAGCTCAAGGCCCTATGTTCCATGGGGAAAGCAAAGAATTCAAAGAAAATCTAATATGTAGAACCTTTGATTGATAAATAAGCTAGCTCTAACCTAGTTGAAAAATGCCATGAAACGACATGATCCCAGAGTTTAGTTTACTGTTCTACAAGGAGTGCAGCGGAATGAAGTAAAACAATAACTTGCAGACAAAGCTTTCATTTTCCCACTAGACAATCAAAGCCTTGCAACCAAACCACTCAGCTCAAAGAATGCAACTTCACCATAAGCATTTCATCGCTTTTACGACTCATTATTTAAGCATACAAGCATGTCAGTGAGAGTGGAATGAAAGTGGTTTCAAACGCCAAAGAATTGGTATACAGACTGTTCCCATATATCTGCAAAATCTGGGCACTGTGATAATATGCAACTCCATGTTATGAAAAATAAATTGTATTCGGAATAATACTGTATCACTGTGTGATGTATCTAATAAATAAATTATTATGGAAGACAGTTTTGATGTCTGAAACAACGAGTGTCCAGTGTAGGTCCTAATCGGAAAATACTCTGTCGCAAGGCCACTCAGTAATTCCTGTAAACAAACTAAATAACGTGTGTTTGTAAACTCACGACACCGTTCAAGCGTCCATACTAACAAGCTTTAACAGAAACGAAGCACTCAAATTCAACAAAATCAATCAGCTGAAAATACAAAGTAATTTTAACAAATGAAGTGAGACAATTTATTCAAGTTTGAATTCTGTCGCAAAATAACATCAATAGCACATTATTAAGTGTCTATGGGGTTGACTATATGTAGAGATATCCACCGCTGACATGCACAGACGCTTGAATTCATAGGCCACTGGATTGCATCGTATTGGCTGAAGAGTCAATTGGCTACTCTTATATTCTTAAGGTACTAGGTTCACTTCTTCATAGAGTCATGAATGCCTACTTCTGAAGAGCCCCAAACTAGGACAAAACAGCTTCCCAGCCCCTCTTTGTTTTCAAATAGTCCTGTAACTATTATTGGCTTGTGATGAAATCTAATAGTGTGTATTATTTAGATGTTTAGAAGTATTTTTGATCTGAAATTATATAAGTGTACAATTAAAGTGTCATTTTGTTCTTCTTATTTTTCAGATCATTGCTGTCATCTCTGTATTCTTCATAGTATTATCAATCTTGTGTTTTTGTTTAAAAACATCCTCTACTCTTCGTATTCCACATTTGTATAATGACACATTACCGCCGAGAAGTAGTCAGTTATCTACAGATTACAACAGCTATAGACAAATGTCTCATAGTATATCAACTTCAACTTATCCTAACAGACTCTCCCGGGACAAACGCGTCAGCCATCAACAACAACAACAAAAGCCTGCAGTATATGAAAAGTATTCATCCGAAACTGAAGGTAATGATGTATGGACTATACGTAAACGTGTCATTAAATCGCATCAAATATTTGGTTATGTTGAATGTATATCAAATGCATGGTTTACATTTGAAATCACAATAAGATTTATAGTTACACCATCAAAATTAGAATTTATTAAATCTCCTGTTAATATCATCGACTTACTGGCATTAATGTCATTCTATGTTGATTTGCTATTGACAAAAATTATATCGAATGAAGCAAGTTATGAAGCTTTGGAGTTTTTCTCTATTATACGTATTATGCGTTTGTTTAAATTAACACGACATATTGCTGGACTAAAGATTCTCATACACACATTTCGTGCTAGTTTAAAAGAATTAGTCCTATTGGTATTCTTTCTGATGGTATTCATTGTAATATTTGCTGCGTTAATGTATTATGCTGAAAGATTTCAATATAATCCACAAAATGACTTTGCTTCTATACCAGTTGGTTTATGGTGGGCTATTGTCACTATGACAACAGTTGGTTATGGGGATCAAGTACCAAAAACATATCTAGGTAAGTGTATTATTTGCATATTTTATTATTTTTTATTGATTTTCCCCTGATTAACTGGAGGATTTCATCATGATGAACTGACATCGGAGTACTGAACAACTGTTTCGTCAACCTAGTTTGGCACTTTTCAGTAGTACGCATCCGTCACGGGGGTTCGAACACAGGACCTTCTGGTTACAAAGCTAGCAACCTCGTAGAACAATAAGCCACTGGGATCCTACCCGATCTCATGGCCAGTCCATGAATTCTAACTTCTGCCAATTCGTGACATGGCGCGGCCACTTCACTATGTCTTCTTTGACGAGTTACTGCAATATTTCTTCTCAAAGATGAAAAGTTTAGTATGAATTAACAAATATTCAGGTTTTGTGGCTGATTTAGATCACAAGTCGATGTCGTTCACAGAACCATCAAAAACCATGGAGTAGGAATACTGAACAGTTGTTTCGTATTAGTACTCTACTCTTCATCATCTTTCACGCACTACCCCATCATGGATTGAATCTATGATCCTTAAAACAGATTCCTGCTAAACCAACCTGTTGGAAATTACCCTAATGCTCACTGGTGACTGAATGACCAATGTAGTTGCTTGGGGTTCTAGTGAAACATCGTCATCAGCGCAGTCCATCATTAGGTGGAGGATGCAATTTGTTGTACATGGCTGTACTGTTCATGCAGTTACTCAGAGGCAATTTCTAAATTCAACTGAAAAATATGAAACAATCATTGATACGATGGAAGAAAACATTTGAAATTTGATGAGGTGAAGATTGTTATAATATGAGAAGAAAGGTGGTTGTATATCTACTTGACAAGTGTAAAGAAGAAGAGAGAAAGAAAAGCTCATAATATACTCAAAAGTGACTCAAAAGAGTGATAATATCGAATCGCTTTATTTGAATATCAGCTGATAAGTGCGAAGAAGTTTAAAATCATGAAGGAATAAGACCGTTCGGCATAACGTTCTGGATGATATCGAAAGAGAACATCTATGAATTAGCGTATCTTGGTTACAGGGTTTCATCATGAACCATTGAAAAACCTTCAGGGAGTACTGAACAGCTGTTTCGTCCTAGTTTGAGACTCTGCAGCAGTACGCACCTCCCAGGGTTCGAACCCAGGACCTTCTGGTTACAAGGCGAGCCCCTAGACTATGCAGCCCCTGGAATCCGATGCAATGGTCCTTGAATTCTAACTTCTGCCAAATCACGACATAGCGTGACCATTTCGCAATGTTTTCTTCGATGGGTTACTGCCTCACCTTCAACGTGCTGTACCTTACTGGTCATGGACCATTGGACTGGACCCCAGTGACTGAATGGCCTACGAGCTCGCCTTGTAACCAGAAGGTCCTGGGTTCGAACCCCTGCAGGTGCGTACTGCTGAAGAGCCCCAAACTAGGACGAAATAGCTGTCCAGTACTCCCTGAAGGTTTTCAAATGGTTCTCTAACTGATGTCAGCTCATGATATAATCCTGTAACCTATCAACCAAATCCTTACAAACCAACACTTAAATAGCGTATCTTGAGTTTACCAGTTGCTCGAAAACTGAGCTGGTAATTAGTTTGTATTGTCCTCTTAACAACTACGATGAAAAATGTTCTGAAATGCATTTGAGAAGTGTAAAGTCAGTCTGCGAAGGATTAAGTAAATTTCTAAAAACATACATTGACTTAGAGTACACATTTTCATGACAAATACATCATATAGATGACCACTGGAAGCCTAGAAAAATGAAAACCATTTTCAACACTGCACTTAGGAGAGTTTATGATTGGAATTCATCACGCCAGTTGAATGTTGGCAGGCTCGATTCTTATCGTTATGACCTCATATCCCCGAAGAATTGCAGTGGAAGACGATAAAAGAAATCCGATAGTTCATTTGTTTGCATAACTGAATCTACCCTGAAATAAATTCTGTTCAAAATTAATAAAATAGATGTAGAATATGACCGCTGCGGTCTAGTTTATTGTCGTATTAAAGGAGTTAATTTCATAAAACACACGGTAATACATTATTAATAACTGGATGACATTCTCTATAATCATGTCAGCGTTTCACACGACTTTCTAACTTTTTTTATATGGTGTTTCAATCCTTAAATGCAATTTCCATATTTTCGGAGCAGACGTTTATATATATGTATTTGGTGCTCAGTTGTTTAACAAAAGGGTCAGTGATTAACCTGCCACTCCACTTATTTATATTACTCTTTGATACCTTTACCCTACATCACCCCACTGTCTGATTACAACTAAATGAATTCATTGAAATGACAAAGTCTCTTTTCAAAGTATTCAATTCAGCATGATGAATCATTCCAAGCCCAGTTAAACTTCTATGTTCTGATAGCCTAACCATCCTTTGATCTACTAGTCTGACCTATGTAACTGGCTTAACAATCAATACATAGTATTTGGTCAATTATATTACATTTTCTGATCCTTAAACTGATCAAGTTTGTCACTGAGTGACTTAGTTAACTAGTTGGTTTAAACGTTAGTGTAATCCCAGATTTATTAAAAATCTTAATAAAGCCTCTGTTGACACTGAGGAAGCTTTTGAATCCCTTACTATTTACATTATTTTCACTATTTATACGACTACTCCTAGTTCTTGAATGTGTATTATTACATTTTTGACTAAAATTCTAATGAGTAGCTTTTTAGCAGTAATGCTGAACATATTCGGTTGATTGCCTGAATTACTTGTCATCTTCTTGACTCGATCATATCGTAAACATGTAACCAAAACCAACTTTTATTGATTTTGTGTCATATAATTCCTAAATTAAAAGTCTCGACATCAATTTGCCAAAAAAATACTCGCATGCTGTAATTAATTAGTTACGTGGTGGCAACCATGAATAATACGTAGAAATTATAAATTCTACTGACTTATTCTGTTCTGCTAATCATCTCGCAAACGCAATCAATGATCCTCTTTCATTATAGATTCTAGAATATTCTTGTATATCTTCTACATATAACAAAAGAATTACCGAAACTCCCAGTAGTTTTCCCTCAACCCTTTGTATATTCGATTGCGTAATCTCGATGCCTCCCGTCTTGTGCGTTGTTAGCACAGCGGTTACGACGCTCGCCGACCATGCACATGATCAGGGGTTCGATCCCAGCCTGACGCACTCCTTTACCTCGCTAAGCCAGAAATAATCCTGGTGAAGAGGAAAAGTTGAGCATGAGGCTGGCAACCCCATCCTGTAAAAACAATCACCACTGCTACAGAAACTTCAAGCCTTCTAGCTTGGAGCTCTATGTTCCACTGGAAACGTGAAGGGAAAAAATGGTTCCCATCTTACAACAAACTGATTGGAGTATTCAAATATTGATGCTGAAGCTATTTTAGGTTGTATAAAGTCACCAGAACCGAATGAAATAAAGAAAATGATATTATATTATCCCTGACTGATTTTTTGTACTTGCTTTGTTCAGGTTAATCAGAAGGGTAAAGAATTTATGGAACATAAATTGTGTATTCAACATTTTCTCACGAGTTAGTTTGTAAGGATCAGATTTGTTTTTACGAGTTTGACTACAGATTGACATCAGTTAGAGAACTATTGAAAACCAGCGGTGGAGTACAGGACAGCTAGCTGTTTCATTCTAGTTTACTTACTGCCGATGATCCCTAAACTAGACTTAAACAGCTTTCTAGTACTCCAGAGCTGATATTCAATGGTTCTTTAACTGATATCCATCCGTGACCAAACTTGTATTAACATTAATTTACAGATATTGCGCCTAATTAAAGGTGCCTACTATAAATTCTAAAACATCAGGACTAGTGACCAGTGAGTATTCTTGAGTATCCTTTTCAATAACTTCCTCTTCTTCTTTATTGTTATCGCTCTGATTAAGATTAACAGATTAAATGTCTGAAGCATATGTAAGTGATAATATGTGCATCAGAATAATACTAAACTCAATACATGCGATAGTAATTCAAAGTTCACAGTCAAAACGAAGTAATAACAAACAGACTAAGAGAATTAACTCACAGAGCTCTTAATATGAGTTAGCTGAAACTCATATTTTCCATATAACCAGTTGTGCTCCTGAAAGTGGAAGATGAAGTATCAAGCCTAGTTACTTCTTTTTGTATCTATCAGTTCGAAGGCTCCTGTGCAGGCGATTACATCAGTCATTGCTCTCTGAACTTGATTTCTTGTGCTTGGGAAAATTCACTAGTTTGGTAAAATATTTACTATAATTATTGTTCCCTTGGGTTCCGAGTGGAAGACACTTTGTCCTATTCTCTGGCCCCAAGATTCCCTATTGTCCTTCATCTCCTCCTTGCACAATCTACTCCGTATAACCCTAGGACACACGCTCATCTCATCGTTTCCCCGTTCGGGCTCCACTCGTGCGATGGTCTGGCACGCGAAGTCACCCAGCAGTCTGCACAGTGTATAGCCAATCCCAGCTTCATTTTCTTCAGCCTATTCGCTGAACAGTAAGTTTTTGCCCAGAATTACCTGTTTTTGTTTCTTTCTGAATGGAAGTCTGATGTTCTGTATGGAGTCAGAAGAGACAACTGTTGATATAAGTCTGCATTGACCAGTTCGAAATACTTTTCGTGATTTGTTAGCCAGCCTTCTTACTCACATAGAAGAGCTGATTTAACATTGGTGTGGAAAGTCACCTTTGTTCATTGAGCTGAGTGCAGAAAATTTCCTAACTGAATTCAGAGTGATAAAGGTGTTTATCTTGCCTTTTCGATTCCTATTAAGCGTTAAACAAAAGTCTAGTAAAACCAATAGCGGTTCAGTATTATGTCACTTGCTCCCAACAGGTAATGAAGAATCTTTTCATACGATTTATCGGGTACCAAATAAATCGCCGTACATTTGTAGATACAGGATACCCCTAACAGCAGGCGCAGATGCAGTTGGTGTGAAACAACTGAAACTTTGAGCAGAAAAGAAACACGTTCAACGTCTATTGCTAACCTGGACTTCTGCAGAACCCATAAA